GTGACGGCGCGCTGGAGTGGTATAATTGTACCTTCCTTTGATTTTTCTTCTAACCTAGGGGCGGGAAATTATTTCAGGCGGAGGGCTGCTTACCAAGTTTTGGCAAGCTGTCAAGGGCTGCTTGGGTAGCCCCGCCCCCTGGTTGCCATCTTGTGACCAGAAGTCCCAACCCCTAACCCCTGACCTTTGCCACTAGAAGTCCCTCCCTTTGACCACGGAAGTACTCCTTTCAGCAAGGGGTTTTGCCATCTCAGAACCAGAAAAATACCAAATTATATTCTAAAAAGTGATCATCTACAACATCCATTAATTTGATTTCAAAAAATATTTTTGTCCTGATTTACATGCATTTGTGTAGTATACGCAGAGGTGAAGTGGGACTCACCCTATGAACACACGCACACACTCTGCCCCTGTGCTCACTCACTCACTCTGCCCCTTTGCTTGCAGACATGCCCACGGACACCTCCCCCTCCCCTCCCCCCCCAGTGCGGTCCCATGCGCTGCGCTCTGGGGATTCAGCTGGAGCCACATTCATATGGTGCTGGAGCAGGGCGGGGGCAGGAAAGCAGGGAACTGACTGGGGGTGGGCAGGGCTGGGCTGCTTAAACCTGCTGAGGGCTCCCCCTGGGTCCTACTGCCCCTGTCTCCAGCCAGCTTTGACGGGGAGCTGGGGCAAATAAATATAAATTTACTAAATTTTTAGGGGCTCTGTGGGCTGGATAGAACGGCCTGGTGGACTAGATCCAGCCCATGGGCTGTATTTTTTCCACCCCTGCTCTAACCAAACATTGAAACCACTGTCTGTTGGCAGCAGCAGCAACATTTCTATTCTGGCAGCAGTGAGGGAGTCACTTTACTGAGTAGCTCTTTATAATCTACCTGATCCTTGCTAATCTCTCTTTACAGGTGTTAACAGTCCTTCTCTCATTTTTAATGGTCTTCTTGTTTCACTATTCAAAATATCCTTTCTTCTGCAATTCTGCTGTTTGTTAGCCATTCACAGCCCTGCAGGCTGTTTTTAGCTTTAGCTAAAAACCTTGGCTCAGGTGTAGTAATGTTAACTCAGGTGTAAACTGACTGACAGTGAATATGTCAAGACACTCGAGAAGGTTAGATTTTGTTTTACAAATCTGAATAAGAGATGAACTTTTGCCTCTAATGACTAATAGGACTAATGAAACAATACTTTTGTACTATTTTTGTCTAGTTTGTGTGTTTAAATTTTATATACAATTTGGAAAATTAGTGTACATTTCAATGAATTTATATTTGCTCTTCCTTTGATCTTAAACTGAATAATATAGACCCTTGGCATATTAGTAAAGCTTCTAGTTTCTGTTTACGTGGAGGAAAATATGTTGTTATATGTGATGATGTACCTCATCATCTGCACCCCCTTTTTCAAAATCTTAGTTCTGCCTATGGGCCCGGTCATAATCTAACTCCTAAAACTGCAATAGCTAGGTACAGACATTCAAAAACCTGAGGCGGGATCTGTCCAAGTTACGTGGTTTTCTGTAAGTGGTGTAGTTTAGATCATTAGTGAAGAGAACATGCATTTGCCCTTTGGTGATGGGGGAGAGGGGCAAATTTTAGAACCTGGTTCCACCATTTTTAAACCAATCTGTGCACTGAACATCTTTTCTATTATGGGTATAAACTGGTATCCGATCA